CGTATTGTGCATAAACTATATCATTACATTACTTGATATTACAACATTGCTCTTATACGAAACACAATATGAATGATGTGTCTCTTAGGAACAATTCATGCAAAAACATGCAAAGGTTTGGGGGCAGCAATTTAGTGCTTTCTTATGTATTATTTGACGAACCAAAGTCCACAGGTCTGTAATCAAAAGAATTAATATAAGATTGAATCTGAAAAGAAGACCATTGTCTTTCATTTGCTAATGTATGAAGACAAAACAAACATTACATGACACACAGTTACACAAAATGACTGCATGAGACATAACTATTAGTCTATGCATCATGTGTGTATTTGTCATCAGTTCATCTAGTGTTGCTAATATATTGTTTTTTCTATTAAACATTTGAAATATTTATGATGAATTGATAAACTTATTGATAAATATTTAATGTTGTAGTTACCAGTATATATTACAGTACCAACTACCAAGTCTGTGGGGGGATATTGCAAAATTTAATACCAAATTGACTTCCGCTTATTTTATAAAAATAATCAACCCATCGCAAGTTGAAAAGCGAACTCACCTGTTTCAGTACACGTTAGTCAACTTTTCGCAAGCAAATTTCAGCGAAGATTGTTCACAACTTGGCATCTTCTCGACGGATTTTTATCGCCATTAACGCCCAGATCGTCATGAAATTTCGTCGTTTTGTAGTGACGAACCTTCTCGCAATTTCCCAAAGAAAGCAAACATCGATGGACACGAAATGATTTTAAAAATCCGCCGATTTTTCTCTCGCACAAAATTCACGGCACAAACGGCAGCCATTTCGTTCGAAAGCAACTTTGCATATTCCTATCGTCATGCAACAGATTACAGAAGTTTCATATCTGTATATAGCTAATCTGTGCCATACTTAGCGCGCCTAGTGCTAAAAGGGGAATGGTCTATTAAAATGTACATTTTTATAAAGTTAGTAAGCTAAATCTAGCCTTCATCGCTCATCCCGTTCAACCGAGCAGTCTGATCTCAGTTTAGCCTAAGTTTGTATGTAGTTTGGCGAGTACTTTCTTTTTTTCAGCGCAAATTATTGACGATTTTGACGCATAATTCGTTGTGAAATTTTAGCTGTCCGACGCAAAATATTTCGACATTCCATACTGGCAAACTGCACAATAAATATACACTATAAAAACAATCAAAACAAAGTAATACCTTTTAATTTCAAGTACAACAGATCTGATATCAGAAATATCAGAAAACGACGATTTTTCAAGAAGAAATATCAGGATTTACTGGTATTTTGATCACAAAGATATTACGTTGTAAATTGTAAGTTTTGCTTTGACAAAAATCACGTGACTGTCTGCCACTGACCTCTAAATATATGTGGAGCTCACTGATGCGCATATTATGGTAATATCACACCGCAATATGGCAGCTGCCAAAGAGTGCGCTAAATCGTCAAAGCGGTCATCACAACAACGGCTTTCGTTGGAGGCTAGTTTAGAAAACTTACGGGAGTTAACCGGTACAATAGAGAAAAAAAAGAGCCCAAAGTAGAGCGACTTCTTCCTCACGTAAGATAGCAGTGGTAAAAGAATACGTGATTCCAATTACAAATACCGCTCTCTTGCTGAACGCAAAAAAGCAAAAAGCGCGCTACTTCTGGCCAAACTAGTAGTGTCACTGGTAAATTAATCATAATTTTTTTTTATATAAATAATTATTGTATTTTTCGAGAGCGACGACGTTGACCTTTGCCCATTTGAATGAGATAGTGGTTTTGATTTTGACATCATTAATGAAGAATCATCTGATGCTTCTCTACAAAGAAGTTAGTCTCATCCCTATATACCATGATGTTTCATTTATTACTACTACTTATTACGACTACTCAACGCTGGCGTGCAAGCATTACTGTGCTATTCATATTTATAATTTGTAGAAAATTTGACCACCTGTATAGTAAATTGTGAAAGTTTGACCCAAGAGATGAAGTCAAGTACCCAGTCCATGTGGACAAGAAGAATGCAGTCTGTGGATGCTGCATGGGAAAATAGTAGATCTGCTATATTTGCTGCTGTTTTAAAAAGTTATGCAATTCCTAAAACTGGGGCTGTTTGCTTCATGTGCAGAGAAGACAGAGCTGTTGTTCGGTGAGGCCACTGTGGACCAGATGCATTACTCTGTAATAATTGTGATGAGACAGCTCATGAGATAAAACCTTTTCGTCATGACTGTGATGTTTGGATAAATGGATTTTTTCAACCAGTTCCTCCAACTGAAACAGTCCTGCCAAACGGATCTATCTGCAAATCTATCCGCAAGAAACGATAATTTAATTGACAACAATTGAATGAATTTTACGTCATTTAATTGAACCACCCAGCGCGTGCGTTTTCGATGAAAATGATTTTTTCGTGAATCTAGCTAAAAACTGGTATGTGATGATCACTGAACGGCAACAAACCCAGGGGCGTAGAAAGCATCCAGTGATTGGGGGGTACCGGCTTCCAAATAACTCTGCCCGGTTCGAGCTATGAAAACATATCTACTCCAGTCATCGTCTGGCCAAACAACTCGTCCAATGCTCCAATTTTCATCAGGTGTCCCAATTACACGTGTAACCCTAACATCGCACCTACGTCATCTACTTCAAGGGCAAGGACTAGCCGAAAAACTCTACGCCTCTCATAGTTTCAGGATCGGAGTTGCTACAGCTGCGGGCTCAGCCGGCCTAACCTCTTGGCTCATCAAAACGCTAGGACGTTGGTTTTCAGACTGTTACGAGAGATACATTAGAACTCCAAAGGACGTCTTAGCTTCCGTTCCATAAAAACTAACTGCAAGTACCAAACATTGAAAATTTTGTTTAATATCCACCTTTAAAACTCAAACATTATGCTTCCTTGCTGTATAGTCTGTATAATACCAGTCCTCTGTTTGTGTGTATGTGGATCCTTCCTGCAAACTCATAGCCTGTCGTATGTTTGTTCTGTCATGCTACCACGGCAACTGCACGATATCTTCAAATCTGTTTTTTCAAGTACGCACATACACACAATTGCCGGCCACCTTTGCAGGATTGTGTCTGATATTTTCGGCTGTCGAAAGACAGGACTATAATTCGGCCTACTTCCCATGGCGGAAATATCATTCTGCACTTTGTGCAGATCGCTATTAATGGCAGGAAGTGCTGCACCTCGCCACGTGAAGTGCACTTGTACCGGTCATTCTGGTCGAAAACGCGACCTAGAGACTCGATGGATCAGTCAGACAATATTTGAGTCGAGCTGACCGACCTGAACAGGGGTCCGCCTGTTCCCCTGTTATTTGTCCTGTTCCTCTAGAAAAATCTATAGTTTTTGCATGCTCTTTCGGGTTTTGAGTACCCTTACTGTCTCAGTATAATGATCATCAGGTCTCAACTCACTGAACAACATGCACAGAGCTGACTCACACCCTGTGCGAATTAGAGGTCCTCCTGTTCCTCTAGGAAAAACTTAGGTTAATTAGAGCCTCTAGAACTTTTTTCGAGCGCTTCCTGCCCAATTTATAAGCCACAAAAATGTCTCATTGTGTTGTTGCTTTTCAAAATCCTTATAAAGAATCTTAACATATAAACTACATTAAACGTATTATACATGTTTATGGTTTAACATGAAATACACGACATTTTTCATTTTTTATGTTGTAGCTTTTTAGGAAAGTAATGTAGAATGTATGATTATAAGTTCGTAATAGCAAGAAAATTCTACAACAATAATTATGTGAGTAGATAATTTGAGTTGAAAATATTAAAAAGATCAAAAACAATTAATAAAAAGTCACTGACTTAATAAAAATAAACATAATGTAATTATTATATTTATCACGTTGTATCCCTAAGCATCCGCAATTTTTTCCCACAGACAGCGGGAACATCTTTAATTGTTGGTTGAGCACATCTTTAAACTTAGCATTCATCCGCCAATCACTCACTTAGCCGAGCCGCCTTGCGAGGGCCAGTGAACTCAATTAACACTGGAACGCTAGCTCTCTCACTTTCCCACTCACTTTCCCTCATTAATGAGTGAAACCAAAATGGCGGATCATGGTTAATTACTAACAAAATGCGTCTTCACTTCTTGAATTGCTCTTCGCATTCATCTAATCGAGAAACTAAATAGACCAAAACATAAGTTTCCATCCTCGATGAAATACTGCCATAGTATTTCTAGAATATGAAATTTTCGCTTTGCCTTTGGCTTTTGCCTTCGACTTCAAGCCTGTATGTCTTGATCTGTATCACTATCAGACATTGCGTATATAGTGCGACGGAATGTCTTCCCGAGTAAAACTAAAATAACGCTGTTCACAATCTTACATCTGGAACCATGTTTCAGTGGGTTTATTAGATTTGAAAATAAACTTTCTTATGTGAACTTCAGAGCGTCTAAATTAATAGTGACTAAAGATCACGTCTGAATCTGGCTAAAACCTAACAAAAACCTCACCTTCCATGCATGATAAGTATCTCAACAGCTAGCAATCTAGTGTTTATTTAACATATTTGACCAACCAAAGCCTGTCTGTAATCGTAACTCTGAATCTGACAAGACGTATCTTGTCCACAATTTGATTTGCTCATGCATGACATGTAAAGAGAAACAGCCAACATTACATGGCTGGCACATTGTGAGAATTAAGTGTTATATAGTGTTACACAAAATGACTCAACTCAGACCAAGCTATCGATCAGCTATGCATCATGTTGATGCATTTGTGTGTGGTGTGTTCATCATTAAAATATCTAAAATTCTAAATGTTAAACAGTTCATCTAATGTTGCTAATATATTGTATCATTTATTAATAGTTTGAAATATTCTCGGTATACATTTTCGGTATGATCTTGAATTGATAATCAATTATTGATAAATATTTTAGAGTGTAGCCGTAAGAACGAGAATGCTGAAAAATTTAATATAAAATGATTCAATATTACACAATAAAAACAATCAAAACAAAGTAATACCTTTTTATTCCAAGTACAGCAGAGCGGATATCAGTAATCTATTAAAAGATCGTTTTAACAGAAGAAATATGATGAACTAATTCGTTTGTTTTTTGACCACATAATTCATAAATAACAATTATCAAACCAGTGACAGTTTACTGTCTGTGGAATAAATTCAAGTATTCCTTGACGTGCAAGTGAAATTCCTCAGTTTTCCTGACTTAAATTTTCAACCTTACTGGGGGTGAGTTAGTAACTTCTTATCAAGAGATCGACATCGGACCGAGGTGCATAAAATGTACCATTTGATAAAAAAGTACCAAAATATTGCATTATATAGCTTAGTTAAAACCGTCTGGAGCCATCTTACTAATTTCAATGGCAATTAAATATGCCTTTTAGAATTATTTTGTGCCGTTTTCTTTCTATACCTTTAATACTGAAAAACAGTAGCAAACATTGGGTGAATGCGATGTCAGAAGCAGTTCAAAAAATTTTCTCTTAAACATGACACTTTCAACAAAATGACGAGCTGCTTTTTTATTTTCAGATCGTTTTTTTTCCAGGCTTACAATTAATGCAAACTGGATCGTTCTACAAACACATTCTTTGTCTACACCGTCCATTCCCGTTACGACGACAGCATCGAGTCATATTTAAACTACAAGCAACTACAATACTTACTTACGTGGTGTACCTACAAGCTAATTTACTTAACTAATATTTGCTTTGACCACAGAGATAAAATATTTAAAAATGTTTATATATTGTATTTACATGGAGTATAGAAAAACATACGTGGTAAATTATATCGTGCATGAGCATGACAAATACTTTTATCTTGCAACTTCACGGTTATACAATAATATAAATATTATAATCGAGAAATAGGAAACTACCACCGCGAAATCACTGCATCCATGAGTAATCGCTGTCGCTGATATTCAAGAATCAACATTTAATCAGACCATTTAGGGGCCCACTTTTATTAATGGAAATGAAAATTTGTGTATGACATGGGTGTAGGAAACTGGTCAATTAACTTTTCAATGAGTATCACGATACTTAAATATTCATAAATACTAAAATAAATGTTGTTGTATAATTGATCAATTTGCTTACAAATAACAAAGCAATTTGACCAACTTTTTATCATGCTGACCACCCCCCCCCTCTTCCCAGTTGCCAAGCCCATATCGGGAAACCGAGCTGGCCCGCTTGACACAACCACAGCCCGAGCTGACCCGGTTGCATGTAACCAAAACGTTTGAAGTGACTATAATAAAATATAGAAAACGGGCCAGCCTGGTCCATGCAATCCGCGCCTTACATCATGACACGGGTTCACATCACTTTGCATGGACCCATTCGAAGTAGAGCAAGAGGCCTATTGCGAGATACACAAAAACGAGGCTAGTCAGGTTTTCTACTGCAAAAATTCCAGAATAATTTGTTTACTTCTAAATTTTGATTGAGGAAACTTCGTTTTTTGTATCTGGTGACATAAAATATATATGATTTTGATATTCGACAAACATAAGATCTGATTATAGCCCGACTACACCAAGAAATTGTACTTCGCCACAGGCTTCTTGCTCTTTTTCCAAAAGATTTATGTACTTTATCTTCCAAAGGAGCTTCAAAAGATATATTCCATTTTTTTAGAATATAAAGAATTCGTCACACATTCCAGCTATTTTAGTCCAGGTAAATCAATGACCTAAACCTTCCTTGTTATTTATTTCACTCAAGTCCCGGACAAAATGAAGAAAGATGAACAAAAATACCTTCATTTTATAGCTTCGTTTGCCTCGCCTACGAAAATATTTTCTTTTAGATTTTAATTTCTAATGGAAGAAATTATATTTTCCTATCTAGAGACATAAGGACAGCTATAACTTTAACTTTCAGGAAAATAACATAAACAATTGAAAATGTATTCCTTTAGTCACAGCGTAATTTTGATGTATTTTCGGAGCCTTTTTTTACCCAAAGCGGAAAAAATGTAATAATGATCCATGTTAATAGACCTTTGAGGTGCTTACGTCATGTCGGTCTCGAACAATGAATCGCAATGCAATCTGGGAAACAAGTGGGACAAAATTGTATGGATAGAAAACTGTGTGACGTAAGCACTTCAGAAGCCTATTATAGAAGGATTTTTCGTTCATCGTCTTCCGTTAGGAAAAGCAAGTAAAGAGGGTTATTATACTGAATTTTTGTGTGTAGAATAAACTGATCGCTTAACAAGTAAGATGCTGGATATTCATGTACGCTTATCACAATTACACAAAGGAAGTATGTGAATTAATCGATCTCACACGCAGGTTATAAAAACACACAGCAGGAAAATCTCTTGGATACAAATTATATTTTACAAATATTTTTCTACTAATATTACACAGTTCAAACGCTTTCATAGGTTTTCGCATTTTAGTACGTTCCATAGCTGAACGTTTAATTTACGCGTAGTTTTCGCATTTAAACAAGATTTCGGTTTCAAAACTACATTAGAAATACTTTTCAATATTATGAATTTTCAAATATTTGTTGCCATTTCTGAGAACGAACAGAAGGGAACGCGTTGATGGAAGAAAGAAAGGGGGTGGATAAGGAGGAAAAAAAATAAGATTACCAATGTATCTGGAAGCTATGATTCTGCCTTCCGACACCTTAACAAAATGTATCGATCTACTGGCGAAAATAGCAATCAAATCAGAATCGATATAAACATGCAGCCAGACTAAAGTTTTCAATCGGAAGTTGATGCAATCTTTTCACACCATTTGGGAAAGTAATACAAAGTAAACGAATTTTAGATTTATATCTTGTCAAGAACACTGCATTGCGAGTCGTTTTTGTACCAGATAAAGACCAAAAACAAATATCCGGTAGATACAATTCTCCGGTTGAACGTACTATCCATGTGTTATCACATTTTATTTCCCACAATTCATAAGCTGAAAAGAAATCAAGCAAGAATAACATAACAGCACACCCATCAGAACTTATTGCGACAGAAGGGTCAGTAAACCTACATGACGGTGTTTCTTGATAACACAGTTTTTCGTTACAAATTCTTAAAATAGAAAGTTTCCGATCGCCGTAAATAACAAGAACTCCATTTTTAAATGCAAGGACACGTTCAAAATTTACAATAGATTCTTCATGTTGACTTCCTAAGATATTTTCACTCCTAGGTTCATAACGATATTTAACAACCAGACCTTCACAGACCAACCAAAGATACGACTCTGACCACCAACATGCTAATGCTCGTTGTTTCAGTGCAACAGTTTGCAATGTTTCCCCACTATCGACACTTCTTATTGAAAGAAGGCAATTTTCAAAACAGCACGCGACATACAAAGTGTCTGGAGAGAGTGCACGACAATCTATTTGGGCATTGTCAACAAAAGTAGCATCAGGCCATTCGAGAAGAGATTTGAAGGATAAAACACTGAGTACTTTGGGAAATCCTAAAGATAAAAGGAAACTCGTCCCATCTAATTTCGAAATGTAATTGACAGGAGTATCACAAGGCAAAAATCCAATCTCAAGCACGTCAACGATCTTTTGATTTATGAAATCGTACACTACCAAAGCTAAATCATTTTTCAAATCATTTGCAAATGCTACACACTTTCTGTTTTTCCACACAAAAACTTTTGAACAATATTTATTGGAAATTATAACTTTGTCACCAGATGGCAAACAGATATACTTCATTTTCATTTTAACATTCCAGTCGAAACAATAAGGCGGGGAAAACATTTGAAAGGAATCATTACTACACAAATTCTGGTCAACACGAATATTCTTGTTATCAATCTTTTCTAAAGTTTCAGAATTCAAGACGTTCATGTAATCTAAGACTGGGGAAACATACTTCACTCAATTGTCAAAGAAAATGTACAAATACAATCATACATATTCTCAAATTCAACCAATATACTCTTTCTTTTTACATCCCACACTTTGATTGACGTTTTCTCTAATGTGACAAGTTTCATTCCACATGAAGAAAATGAACAGAAACTGATGTCATCGGGGCCGTGCGTAATGAAGGGGACCTCTTTCTTTTCTTTAATATTGATGCAGAACCGGATTGAATTGCATAAAAAATATGAAGAGTCTGGAGAAAAGGCAGAGAATTGACAACAAGTTTTTATAGTAATTTGTGCCTCAAAGATAGTTGTAAGATCTGGTATTTTAAGCATTTCAACTTTTCCTCAGCATGTATGCAAGCAAGCATCGTATTGTCCGGTGACACAATAAAATCAAAAAGTGAACTGTCTGAAACCACAGCTTCGGGGACAATGCTTAAATTAGAATTGTTTTCAGTTGTCACATATTCTATCCACATCTCATTTGTCGCACCCAAGATACTAGCTGCACTTTTGGAATTGACGGCACCTTGTGAAAAATCAAAGTGCCCATTAGCAAGTGCTTGCAAATATGCGTAACAACTATCTTTTTCATAATGATCTTTTTCATAAGTATTAACTATTCCTCTCCCAGAGCTAACTTCTACCATTTCAGAGAGACAAAGCTGCTGCATGATGCTCCAATAAATATCCTTGGAAAGTTTAGAACGGTACGTGCCAAGAATTCGCCTGAAAAAATAACTGTTCAGGTGATCAAAAAATTTTAGTCTCAAGAAGTTTATACCAACATGCACCAACCAATGAAATTCATCTACCTCGCCTGTATCGACCAAATATTTCCAACCATTTTTTAAAGCGTACATATTCTCGGGTGAAATTTGGAATTCTAAAACAGATTTCAAAGCATTTATCTCGCAGAATTGTTTCTTACAAGCACGCCAGAGACGTCTATTGCCGTCTTCAACATCTGCAACGAATGCATGCTCTTCCTAACCGTTCAATGTCAGCCAATCCCATAATGACTTATGATAAACAGTCAGACGTTCATTATAAACGGGAAGAATCTCTCACATTATGTCCAGAAACGCCTCACGTATTTTAAATTCGTCTTTAGAGAAACCCATGCATGTGAAAAGAACTTTTATTGGC